AATCGTTATCATGAGGTCGGAAAAACTTATATTCGTGGAAACTCTGAAAAACCTTGTGGAAAAATTATTGGTTTCGATGCTAATGCTCTATATCTACACTGTATAGGGAAAGAAATGCCTGTGGGTTCATTCGTGCGCCGCCGTGTGGAGAATGGATTTAAACCACAGAAACGCGATAGATACTCTCTAGCCTATGATTGGTTAGAGTGGCTGAACCACAGTGGTCAGTACAAGATTACACACAAACTGAATTCAGGAAAGGAAAAGAAAATCGGACGTTATCCTGTTGACGGCTATGACGAAGCCTCCAACACCGTGTTTCAATTTCAAGGCTGTTACTGGCACGGCCACCGTTGTTGGTTGACGCGTCATGTTCAAGATGACAAGCTGATGAATAGTCGTGAAAAGAAAACTCGCAAAACAACGCTTTATCTTAAAAAAAAGGTTATCAAGTAGTAGAGATGCGCGAATGCACTTTCCGGAATAATGTCCGGTCTAATTTGCGGCTTAAAAAATTCGCAGATTCACGTAAGCCCGATGTAAGTCAAGGTCATTTGTCTTCGGAAGATGTAATAGTTGCCGTGATGAGTGATAAATTGTTCGGAATGGTCGAGTGCGACATTCGTGTGCCGGATACATGGCCTGCTCATTTTAGTCATTCAACCATGACACCTTACGAGTATTTCTCTGAAATGAGTCCTCTCTTCTGTACATCTGACATTCCGTTTGATGCAATAGGTAGACACATGCAACACCACGCAAAGGTCTTTCGCCTGTCTACAAAACCTAGACGATTATTAGTCGGGGGAATGCGCGCGCGCCAATTATTAATAGCGACTCCGTTGCTTAAGTGGTATATAAGTCATGGTCTGGAAATCACAAAAATATATCAAACCGTGGAATATACATCACAACGATGTTTTCAATCTTTTGTAAGCGACGTCAGTAATGCTCGACGTCAAGGTGATATAGATTCTACTAAAGCTATTATCGCAGACACGCGGAAATTAGAAGGTAATAGCGCCTTTGGATCCACCATCATGGATCAGGAAAAATTTCAGATCGTCAAATATGTTCGAGGGGAAGGGAATGCTATGATGGAAATAAATGAGCCCCTATTTAAAAAATTAACAACTTTGATAGAAGATGAGGAATTGTACGAAATAGAAAGAAGTAAAAAAAAGATGAATTTGAACCTGCCCATTCAGATCGGCTACTTCATCTTGCAGTATGCCAAACTGCACATGTTACAATTCTATTATGATTTCATGGATAGATTTGTAGACCGTGCAGACTTTGAATACTGCGAGATGGACACCGACTCTGCCTACATGGCAATATCAGGTTCCACCTTTGAGTCTGTGATAAAACCTGAACTGCGACAGATTTACGATCACGGTCTCAACGGTTATTGTACTAGCGCCCTAGAGATTGAGGCGGACTGTGACCGACATTGGTTTCCTCGCACTTGCTGTGAGGAACACGCAAAGTACGATCGCAGGACGCCGGGACTTTTTAAAATCGAATTCGAAGGGGACGAAATAATTGATCTTTGTTCCAAAACTTACATAGTCTCTAGTAGAATACAGAAGAAACATTCCAGTGCAATGATAGCGGAGGAGCGCTTACTTAAACGCGCTAAGAAATATAGGTCTAGGAAATCACGTCACATTCCACAACGTTTGGTGACACAACTTAAATTTTCGTGCAAAGGCATTTCAAAGAAAAGAATAAAAGCACCCCTGACTACTTTTAGAAATGTTTTAAAAACTCAAAAACAAGCTTTTGGTATAAATATGGGTTTTAAACTTCACAATAACCAAATATGTACTTATCGTCAAGTGAGGAATGGTTTTTCCTACTTTTATTGTAAAAGAAAAGTATTAGCTGACGGTGTGAGTACAGAACCATTAGATATAGAACTGTGTCCTATAAAACCTAAAAAGATTAATGAAATCGAAATTGATGACTTTGATTTAAATCTTATTCATCTTCTAGCAGAAGTAGAATAAAAAAAGTCGATATACAATTAACTGTCGAATATGACTGAATAAATGTGACATTTTAGACAATGGGAAAGGAGGAGGGGAGGGGGGGGGGCTTCTTGGTTTAGATTGTGTTTAGCTTCATTGACAGGATTTTTTTCATATTACTCACAGATATATCATTCTATAATTAAAAGTAAATTGCGTTACTCGCTTGTATATATTTAAAATAGAGTTTCTCTCAATATTGATTATTTATTTGTGTTCATCTCTAATTAGGCGTGAGTTAGACATAGACCAAATACATTGTATATAGATTTATGAGAAAATATTATGTTACATCCTAGTTGTTATTCACATATACATAATCATGTAAATAATAAATGTTGATAAATAGATTTTATATTGTTGTTGTTGCTGTTGTTGTTTTTTGTTTTTGTTTTTTTTTTAAGTTTATAAGTAATTCTTTTTTTCTTATTCATAAAAGTTTATAAGAAGCATTAATGTAAGGGGTTTTTTTAATTATGGAAAGACCCAATAGTACTTCAACAGAATCTTGGAGGTTTCTAGGGAGTAAACTCCCGAAATCGGAAATAGTATATTTCTGTCAAATGACAGTTGTATATATCATCATAATCACTTCTATAGTTAATCTGTCATTAACAAACGGCTCCTCTGAACTATGGATATCTTTGTTGAGTAGTGCCATAGGTTATGTTTTACCCAACCCGTCTTTAAAGGCTGATAAGATATAAGAACCCTGCTCTATTTGCATACACAAGATGAGTGTTCCTTTTCAACCTTGTTCGAGCATGTGTATTAGTGGTCAAACAGGAAGCGGTAAGACAAGATTTGTTTATCGGTTACTGACTCATTTAGATGACATGTATGCAAAGGAGCCCCCCAAAAGAATTTTATATTGTTACGGAATTCATCAGCCTTTATTTGAAGAAATGGAGCAACATATTTCTAACTTGAAATTACATCACGGGATACCTTCTAATGAAACAATTCAAGATTTGACTTCCGATCGTCAGCACACTTTGATAGTTCTAGACGATTTAATGCATAGAGTCGTACAAGATGTAGACATGGAAAATTTGTTTACGCAAGGCTGTCATCACCGACGTCTCAGCGTCATTTTCATTACCCAAAATATTTTTCCGAGAGGTTCTAAATCTCGAACCATAGCCTTAAATACCTATTATTTAGTACTCATGAAAAACATGAGGAATGCCTCGCAGATATCTATGCTAGGTCGACAACTATACCCAGGACGCTCTAAATTATTGATAGACGCCTACACAGATGCAACTAAACAAGTTTTTGGGTACCTCGTAGTTGATACGTCACCACAAGGCAACGACAAATATAGACTCCGAACCAACATATTTCCGGATGAAGATCCCATAGTTTACACCGGTTTATAAGAATGCGCTTACAAGTTTGTCTTAAAAATGAGTTCCTTGGTTAGAGACCAGAAATCCTTTTTAGAACTCTTACTGCAAACAACTCCCGCTCACAGAAAGCTGTTACTGAGTTCTGTGACGAAACCACAGTTACAAGTGTTGGGAGAAATAGCTGCAAACGTCATACATAGTGTCATTGTACTTAACCAAAGTGAGAAGAATATACTTAAAAAGCACAAATCATTTCTTCTAGTTTTGGGGGATAAGAAGACGTCGCGAAATAGCAAGTTACTTCTTTTAAAAAGAAAACATCGGATCGTTCCTGTTTTCCTTAAAATCGTAAAACCTTTCCTAAGAAGATGGTGGACGTAATGCAAAAATCTGTTTTGGTACCCTACGACAAATACCAACGTCTGTTGTCTCTCCAAGAGTCGCATCAGGAAGATTTTAAACAAAGTTCTACAGAAATACCTGAACACAAACCTGAAGATATGACTAAACCTGATGAGCTACAACCGGAGACAAACAACCAAAGCTCACAGACCGAGGTTTTGGAGGATTCTGAAACTAAAGAGGATTTTTTGCGTAAATCCCCTGTACCTTTAATGAAGATACAACCAGCACTTCAAAAGACTTTAAAAATCGCAAAAAAGATTTTGAAAACCGCAAAGAAACCATATTCTCGATACAGACTTAATAAAACTTGGATTCAATTTTAAACCATATTCATTATTCTATTATTGATTATCAATGCTGCATACAAATAAAGACTTATGTATAAAATATTATTCTTTTGTTATCTATTCAACGGGATTTACAGGTAATTCTCTATTGTAGAAGTTTATTCCTAAGAAATAAACCAATTTTGTATAAGTGAACTTTTATTATACGATAATTACTAGTAGTTTTCTTTTTAATGAAGATACAACCAGCACTTCAAAAGTCTTTTAAAAATCGCAAAAAAAAAAAAAAAAAAAAGATTTTGAAAACCGCAAAGAAACCATATTCATTTTTTTTGGTCAACTCTGTTTTATCGAAACAGTAACTATGAAACTCAATTTGAAGGTTTCTGTTAGCAGCATTATCCAGTATAAGTTCTATTCATTTTTCATTAAAATATTTTGATATTTAAAACAACTCAACGTAAAAGAAAATTGTTATAAAATATTTTATTGATGTAATTGTTTTACATAGTCAGAGACCAATCGGTCGTTTTCATGCAGACGTGATCCACTAAAATCATGCATAATGTTTTTCATAGAAAATCCCACAGTTCTTTTAACAATGAAATAAATACAATAATGTCCACACACACTAGACGTTTCTGATTGGATTCTAGAACTGGAGTATTGATATTTAGGTCCATTAATTGTCAAAATGTATCTGAATCTGGTGTTGTAAAATTCAGGAGAGTTTCCTAGAGAATCAAAAAATTCTGCTGGGCCTCTTAAAGGAAAGTGAAAAGCGACCCAATGTAATCCTCTGCCTCCGCATCTGTCTGTATTCACTACCCAAAACCTATGTTTCCTGGCGTTGGTTGGAAATTCATCAGCACAAGTAATTTTTACGTCATATCTCGACAAATAAGATTTCAATTCAAAGTTATTCATTTGAAAATAATGCTTCGAGACTGGTCTATGTGAAGAATTTGTGGAAATTTTCCGTACAAGACTAATGTTGCGCTTTCCGGTAATGGAAATGCAAATTTCAATTCCAAGCGACAATGTCCTTTTCTTCTTGTGTTAAAATCTATGTAGGGGTTGATGTCTAAGACGTACAATGCATTCCCTTTAGGATATTCTTCCCGTTCTACATAAACGTTTTCTCTACCCGAAACTAGGGTTTGGTAAGCTTCCAAGTAAGTATGAGACTGGTAGTTAGGCTGAAGAGGTCTGGTCGGAAACGACTGTCCGTCGACATAGAAGGCCACAAAATTGCAATCAAAGGACTGAAAGTTAAAAGGTGATTTCTTATAATCTCCACTGAATGCGCTGCTTGATACCAATCCTAGAATGAGGGTGGAGGGGACTTCTCCTTGAAATACGTCGTCCATGGTAAAACTGAATTCTCCTTTGGCGATGGAAGCTATTTTTAGATTAGAAAATAAGTACGGGTATATGGCTGGAGATTTTTCTAGCATCTTGACATGAGCCATGGTCAGAGCAGGATTCGGTCTCTGGATACATAATTTAAAACTAGCATCGACTATCTGAACTTTGTAATCTGTCTCAGTGGTTGTCATTAATCTAAAGGGATCCTTACTAGGCCACAGTTTTAGATGCAGTGCTACTCCATTTAAAATAAGTCGATCTTGTTGAAAGAGGTCTACATGTAGGGGTCCTTCCAGGTCTAATATGTTTCCTCCTTTGGTGAATTGATACCTCTTATACAAACCAATGTTAATACCTTTAATTGCGTCAGCATCATCCGGATCAGAAATGTCTTTGAAAAAAAGTTCAGACTGGCGCACTGCATTATTATCACCAGAAGTCGTGAGTAAGGTATCAATGTAGGCTTTGTAAGGATAGTTTGTTCCCAATTGAGACACAGGCGTCTGCTGTAGACTTGTGTCTACTTGAGAGAAAATGGTGTGCAAAGGTAAGTTAGTTAGTCCAACTGAATCCCCTTCTGTAACGGGGATATTCATGCGATCTAGTATTCTCAATTTAATTTTCATGCGACTGTTTTTTAGATCCATGTAACCGGTAGAGAGTGGCGGTATGTTGAATTCCAAAGCAGAATACTCCGAAATTTGATTTATGGGGTTAAACTCCACCCATTCTCTTGTTTGGATTGTCGTGTCAATTGGAGGGGGTTCAAAAATAGAAAGCTGACTTGAATGGTTTTCGTCCATGCTAATCGTCAAATTGTGTATCGAATTTAGGTTTCTTGGACCTAGGTTTATCAACGCGTTTGCCAGGAGGGGCTAAGAATCGTTTCTTTCTTATAGATTTATCTTCATTCGGGGGGTTGTCCTCCTGTTCGCGCTTTAATTCGGATCTGGCCATTTCGACGGCCTGTGCCACTGGCGTCACAAGCTTCACAGTGGGTTTATGTTCTTGACTCGGAGGTTCCACTCTATTATGAGAACCACTCCCTACAATGTAACGCCCCTTGTAGTCTGGTCGAACTCTTCCAGCAGAAATATCTTCAAAATGGCGAACCCATTTATCGATATTCGGAATGTATGGTACCCATTGCATTTTCTTGTAGTCGTATACTTCTACTGATCCCATAATTTCTTTTTACGCAAGCACAAGGTACAATTGAAAAAATTAACTTGAGAATGAAGAACACTCAAGTCTTTGTTTCTTATAAATATCCTTATTATTTGACAGATTTCCTGTTTAGAAACTGTAATATAAAAGGGATTTGTGTAGGTTATCTGATTAACTCCCCTCTCTAACGTGATGGCTCTTAAAATTGGTAACATCGTATTCTGAACGTAACTATCGCCTACGATATCACAACATACATACAGTCTAGCTGTACTTACATCATCATGCATATCAATGTTTAATTCTAAGATAGCACATTCCCACGAGCCGTCTATCACGTAAGGTTTAGGAAGTGTAACAAGAAAGTCGTCAGGAGTATTAGAGGGATGGAAAACGCTAGAGTCTCTGCTGTCTATGAAAAGATATACTGCCATAGCTTGTTTTTTTTTGTGTGTTTTCTTCTTTACGTATATCAATCTCTTATAACCTTAGGACTCGCTGTTTCTGATGGTTAAAATGAGTATCCTGGCTAAGTAATAGTCTCTTAGAAGCCTGGGAATAAGACCCCGATTTGATAACAGAGTTCTTTTTTTACGCGACACTGAAATTTTAGAACTTGTTAAAGTTCTCATTACCAACTTGTGACGATGGAAAAAATTGCGATCGTGAGTTAATATGGGTACTGTTCTATCGAGCAGGTGGCGAACGACATCTCCGAGACCGGAAATCTGTCGTTGATTTGCTTCTTGAACAATGATACTTTGTCGATTGTAATTCGCATGTCCGAGTTCTCTTAAAAAGTCAGCATTTTGCATCACCCGAGATTGCTCCATTTTTTATAACATTCTTAATCGTATAATCTAAGAATTCTTATAATATTTCAGCGATGATCGAGGGATGTAACTATTGAATTTTTTGGGCCATCCATACCATTTGACTAAAGCCTGGTTTCCTTGGTATTTTATAATCTTTTCGATTCTATACAAGGTGTCATCTGTGATTGTTACTTTCTGCAACTCTTGTTGGTAAAAACTGCCTTTTATGTCTTCTCCATCGATATCCTGTAGATCGTAAATCTGTATACCTTGTTTGATAGAGCGAGATTTCACAACAAAATGCTCTCCACTCCATCGTTCATCGTATTCCCGATCAAACGCTCCTCGCAGCCGAGAAATGCGAACCATGTCACCAATTTTAAACTTAAATTGTTTGTTCTTTACGAGTTTTGACTGTGTTGAATTTGAACTCTCACTGCAAGCATAATCGTAATTCTTCATCCAAATGTAGGGTTCGTCGCTCTTTTTCACTTGTTTCGGGGCCATTTTGATGGAACGGTGAAAGGTAGAATTATAACTTTCGGTGACTTTAGGTAAGATGTCCACCCATCGATGAGTCTGTTGTTTTGTCATGTATCGACTCAATCGAGATTTTAATGTTTTTATAACTCTTTCGGCATAGTTAGCTTTCATTTCGTTTTGAGTAAAAAAGTGAGTTACATCTTTTTGCTTTAATAATTGTTGAACCTCTTTACTGACATATTCAACTCCTTTGTCACTACGAATCTTTGCAGGAGGTGTAGAGTGCGAAAATACGAATTTTAATGCTTTAGTCATCTCAGAACCCTTCGTAGATTTTAAGGGAACAGTCCAAACAAATTTTGAAAAAAACGTCTATAAGTACTAAAAAATACGCATATCCGTCGTTGTCTTTTCGATAGGAAGTCATGAAGGCTGTGTCTGCGTCCCACTGGTATCCGATTTCCGGAACAATGACTTTCGCGCGTTTGAATTTTCTATTGATTTGCTTGTGTAACGTAAAGGTTTCTTGCTTTTGTAACCATTTTTTGATTTTAGATCGACTGAGTACGTACTTGCCGTCCTTTCGAACAGCTCGATATAGCTTCTCCAATCCACTAAGAGACCCAGGGTGTTTTGCATCGTAATAGATCGATTTTAAGTAGTCTTCGTACGACATGATTATGGTATAAAATAATTATAAATGACTGATACTTTTCTTCTTATAATGAGGTTTCTATTTCTACTATAGTTGGGTACACAATCTCATCTAGGTCCTTAAGTCGTTTTATGCCAGTAATTAACACGCTCCCACTTAAGTGACATGTAAAATGAATAGCATTTCGTCGCAACATTACAGCAGGAAATAATTCAGGATCATAAGAAAAGTTTAAGGCGGGAGAAATTGAATTTACATCTAAACGACTAGATAGTTTGTGAAACGCGGAAGCGGTGACAATGTGTACGTTAGTAAGTACGACGTCATATCCAATTCGTTGAATGTAGCGAGCATACCTTCTCAGTCGTTTCAGTCCAGTATTAAAACTTTCGCATGCTCCGTTGCAATTTATCTTTCCATTTGAAAATATTAAACAGTTCCCTCCTATTTTTCTATGTTGAAAAATAACCCCTGGAAATTTGAGTGGATCATACCGCACGTTAATTAAACGGGTTGCCAGTTGTTTAAGATTAATAACACAATTCATGTCTCCTTGGTATACGACGTTTGTCAGCCTCATTATTCAAGCAAATCAATCGACCATAAGTTATTGAGGAATATATATACATAGTTGTATATGTATATCCTAGCTGAATCATATGATTAAATAACAATGAAGATTCATAAACGTTTAAATTAACATGTTTATTACATCTGTATACATAATTATATTTCCATATCTTTTACTCACAAGCAATGTTCATATTGTTTAAATCATTGTCATTTGTGAATGTTGCCTTCAGAATCTTGTACGTCTTTTCACACATGCGCACACACAAGTAATATGCAACATATTTACAATGATTTTACTACAAATGATACATAAAACAATAATGATGAATATTAAGTTATGAAAGTCTTTAAAAAGTGTCTTCTCACCAGTTCACATACTCCAGCGGGTTACAATTAGGACATCGGAGCATGCCTAATTGGTTCATATGATCCTCGCGCAAAAAACAAGGAACAAGCGATTCGAGCTCAGGGATGACTTTTTCTATTTCATCCATGTGGGATTTAAGTGTTCTGTACTCCACAGGTCGAAGACACAGTCCCTTTTTTGTTGGAACGAGCACTTCTTTGTCCGGTGGTCGCCAGTATTGCCTGATGTCCACACACGGATTGTCTTGTTGAATTATACAGAAAATGTTAGAACCCATGTGGTAGTTCAGCTCTTCTTTTTTATTCAAAGCTGCATCAATCATGTCGAAAGCGAGTGCAAATGATTTAAAAAGGTCCAGCCTTAAACTAATCCCCTTCTTTGTTGGATAGCGATCCGTTTTCCATTTGCGTAGATCTACTCTTTTTTCGTTGTTTTTCGTAGTGTATACCTCAATAAAGCGGTCATTTTCTAACGCTAACTTACAACAAGAAGAGAACATGTTGTCACTGTGAATGCTAGCAGTTAAATGACAAAATACTGGAGACGTTTACGGAAATTAGTAACTTTATGATGTCATATCCGTTATCAAATTATATAACCTTATAGTATTTATCCTCATTATATCTCATTGTTCATAATTAGACTGACTCTTTTCTTTTAATTACTTATAATCATCCGGGTTAAATTTCCCATATACCTAATTATCATCACTATATTCATAATCACACCTAACTATTGCTAATAACCAACCAGGTTTGTTTCCTTCATTACCTTATTTTCATCAATAAATAAGATCCGGATAACATCCGTGGGCCTGTTTAGAGCATGATTCACCATAGATATGTGCACCTCAAAAACTTGCACCTCAAAGTAGCATAAAAACGATCACTATATACTACTTATAGGCTACTTTTTTCATAATGCAACATTCTGTTTTTTTCTATTGGTAATTTTTTTTACATGTAGAAAGGGGAAAGACGATACTACCTTGTATAAACTTGTGTCAATTCATGGTATACCAAACACCTCTTTTTTTAAGCAATCAATTTTTTTATGTAAAAAGCCTCATTTTGTTAAATATTTTGTTGACACTAACAAACGACAAAAGACATTGATAAAGATTTTGAGCTAATCACTTTTTGTGCCCCTGATATCGAAGGTCAGATCGAGGCATGTTGATTTAGTTCTGTGCTATTTTAATTTTTCACAAATGTAATCTTCCCTATATTTTTATTAGAAGAAGTTTGAGACTTTATTCATAGAAAATCAAAGATATTTACAAGATCGAATTTTCTTATTAATCTTCCTTTTTTTAATCAAATTTATTTGGGTAGGATTAACCTTTCTTACAAGTTGCTGTCCTTTAAAAAAGGACTGCAATACGTGGACCATATGCATGTATTTCTAAACGAATTCAAAGAAAATTTCTAGATTTAGTGATTTTACTACGAAACCCCATTGAGCTCATTTTCGTAAGTTAAAAAAAAATATTTTTCGTTATAACGCGAAACTTTCCCTGTAAAACAGAGACATTTGCATAAGTCTACAGTTTGTTTTACTTTTTAATGATCTAGTTTATTCATTACAATGAAAAACGAAAGACTATTTTGAACTTGGATTATCACGAGCTGAAATTTTATGCTTTCTCGCCATTGAAAGTGTCTCCTCTTTCTAAATCTTTTTTGTCGTCACATTTTGTCTTTCTCAATACTGTTCAATACAAGTGTTGAAGCGTATAGTAGA